TATATATGTATATATATATATATATGTATAAATATATATATATATATTTATACATATATATATATATAGCCAGGAAACTTGTGAATTTCACCAAGTGATCAAAAAAGTTGTATCTGTATTCATAAGATATCATCATATTTGTTGATTATTTTTTGTATTAACAACCTGAATCTGTAGTAAAGTAAAAACTAGAATAGTATTTCCCTCTGAGTTTGCGTGGAGCATAAGTAAAAAGTACTAGAAAATGGAAATACTTAAGTAACGTACAAATACCTCAAAATTGTACTTAAGGTGATATATATTATTGGTAAACTTACTAGAAAATCTGGGAGAACTCCATTTCTCAACATTTTGGAGAAAATCTGGTCGATGGTTTAGTGCGTCATCAGTACACGATGTCTTCGCCTGCCCTCGTGATGCCTTCACGGACCGTCGGGAAGTAAATCCATTTTATACATGTACGGTATTCTTTTATCATATACACACGCACACACGTTGTTCAAGATTTTAATGTATTTTACTTTTATTGGTGTGACTGATAAAACAATCCTCGTTTTTTTTCAGAATCCCATAAAGCCGATTCTGAGTATGCACCTGAATGCACCAGCCGGATATGCGTGACTCACGTCCGGCGGAAGTAAACAACCCTCAGCTGACGTGGAGCTGCGGACTGTCACCGACCAGCTAGAGAAACTGGATTAACTGGAACTGAGTAGACCAGTTTTAGAGGAACAGTTGTCGCTGTATATTGTGTTTGTATTTCTTTAATCTTTACCTCCCTTCGTTGAGAGACTACCGACAAACTCCAGAGCAAAATGGCGGCTGCAGCGGATGAGGCCAGCAGACCGTTCGCCGGGCTGTCGGACGTCTCCATCTCGGAGGACATCCCGGTGGAGGGAGACATCTCCGTGCCCGTCGGCCCTACCACCAGGCGGCGGAACGACGACGAGTTCTCCACGCTGGACGAGCCCGTGCGGGAGACCATCCTGCGGGACCTGCGTGCGGTGGGTAAGAAGTTCATCCACGTGCTGTACCCGAAGAGGAGCACCGCTCTGCTGCGGGACTGGGACCTGTGGGGCCCGCTGCTGCTCTGCGTGACGCTGGCTCTGCTGCTGCAGGGTGGAGCGGCCGACAGCGACTACCAGGGAGGACCGCAGTTCGCTGAGGTATTTATTAGACTTTAATGGTACTATTTATTAGATAGATTCATAGATACTTTATTAATCCCGTAAGGGGTCATTTGTTCGCTACAGCAGCATTACGATACAGGTAAGCAATCAAAGTAACAGAGTAAAAAATATTATTTATCAGTGGTGAAAAGCAACTAAGTGCATGTAGCCTACTCAAGTACTTTACTTGAGTACAATTTCAAAGTACTTTACTTGAGTATTTTATGCTACTATTATACTTCCATTCCACTAACTTGCATCTCAGAGGTAACGTCAATATTATAGGCTACTTCTTACTTAAAACAGTTTCTAAAGTCTAAGATAACATCTTCAACTTGTTGTTTGACCAACAGCCCAAAGTCCAAAGGTTTTCCATTTATTATTGCATAAGATAAAGAAAAGAAAAAAAACCTTAGAGTTAAGAAGCACAACCTGAAGAATGTTGTTCTTAAATAACAAACAATGAATTGATTATCTCAATTATTGCATATGTTTCTTAGATAAGGTATTAAATCTCTCTGAATCCACTTTCATGTTGAAATACATTTTTTTTTTTTTTTCGTGCAGGTCTTTGTCATCGTCTGGTTCGGCTCCATCATCATCACCCTCAACTCCAAGCTGCTGGGCGGCACCATCTCCTTCTTCCAGAGCCTGTGTGTGTTGGGGTACTGCATCATGCCTCTGACGGCGGCCATGGCCGTGTGCCGGATCGTCCTGGTCGCCGGCTCGGGGACGGTCAGCTTCGCCGTGCGGCTGGTGGTGGTGACGGCCTCCTTCGGCTGGTCCACCTTCGCCTCCACGGCCTTCCTCGCCGACAGCCAGCCGGCCAACCGCAAGGCGCTGGTGGTGTACCCAGTGTTCCTTTTCTACTTCGTGATCGGGTGGATGGTCCTGACGTTCTCGCCGTCACAGTAGAAGAGAAACGAAAACAAGTGTTTGTTCAACGGACAAAAGATGAGGGAAGGAACTCAAACAAACACCGTTTTCTGCCTTGGAACGAAGACGAATGACTACTGAAGTGACTGTGAGTGTTTGTGGGCCTCTGATGAAGCTCTTAGACTCATCAAACTCAAAAAATAATTATGTTCAGGCAAAGCAGTGGCTCCTACTCGGATCCAGAGGAGTCCGGTGGACGCTGTGCTGCAGATGGAGAGTTAAGAGGCTGATGTTCACATTTACGAGCTTTGTAAAGCTGAAGTCCATATGCTTGTATATATAAATGCTCTATGAATGTTTGAACTAACAGGGCTTCACACATTATCATTGATTTCCTCCTGGTCTCTCTGGGTATGTTGGAAACCTCATAGTGTCTTCATGACACTCTTAAATAAAACATCCTCCGCTTTCATTCTCGCACTACATTCTTCATTTAGCAGATGCTCGACTGTTGAGCTGTTAGCGAACATCTCTGGCCAAATCTAGTTCTACTTTTTGTCCTTTTCCAGCATGTTTCTTTTAGTATTTTGGGGCGTACTTTAGTTTTTTAGTAGGCGGGTGACTGGTGTTGATACGCAACAAAGTGTTAGTTATTGAACAGGGAATATTTAGGTTTATGGCTCAGTTCCTTGGAGCCCTCGGCCTCCAGAGCTCTCTACAGCCAGTTAGCTTAGCATAAAGACTGTAAACAGGGGGAAACAGCTAGCCTGGCTCTGTTCACACGTACCAACACCTCTGAATCTCTAAATGATGACCACCTTATGTTGTTTGTTTGAAAACTGAAGTGTTGAAACAGTATTTCTTCTTTCCATTTTATGGGGGTTAATCCCCAGAAGGTGCGGACACTGAGAGCAATCTTCTCATCAGACTCTCGGCAAGAACGGGAATAAATGTAATTCCAAAAATATCAAACTCTTTCTTCAAGGACTGGATAAAGTCTGAAACTGACACTTTCACCAGGTGTGTGTGTGTAGTTCTGGTTAAACTTCACTGTGTGTCTGCACAGACCAATGTGTTTTTGATGTTTGTCGGTGGGTAAAGTCTTTTGCACACATGGGCAGAAGGTCAAATGTTTGATGCAGAGACAATAATTTGAATTTAAGAGGTGAAAACAAAGTAGTAACTGAGCCTGATTATCAGGTTATTTCCTCTGACGCAGGCATGCTGCACGTTGGCAGTCTGCTGTGCTCTCTGTGTTACGTTCTTTATTTTATGCCGTGTTTCATCAGTTAGCCTCTTGTCTGTGCTGGTTCTCTGGTGTGTCGGGGTCATTACATTGAGGGAGAAAAGAAACTCAAGTCTCATGGCTGCAGAAAACTAACAAACCAGCGTTAAAGAAGTCAGATTTTCCTGGTAGAGAAGAAGATTTAGGAGAGAGTTATGAGATGCATTTTAAAACAGACTAGATGGTTTGTGTGTCTTTTTCTGGAAGATAAACATCTCAACAGGGTTTAGCTTAAAGTCCCTCAGGATTAAAGAGCGAAAGCTTCTCAACGGAACCTAGATTTTACACCGACGTTAAAGAATCCTACAGGAAGAAATGATTTCTGTATCAACAAGAAAAAGTAAAACAACGTGTTTGTTGGTTGGAGGGAGGATGACTCGATCTTCATGATCTTTACCTTCGTGTTACAGCTGATTGGTTAAATTCTATTTTCATGACGTTAATGCTTCCTGCAGAGTTAAACGGCGTTCTGGGAAATGTAGGACATCACAAACTGCTGTATAGAAGCAGATGCAGCATGTTCAGGAAAAGTGGGTTCATCAAAAAATTGTAAAACTTCATTATAGAAAATAGAGCAATGAGACAATGGTTTTGTTTGTAAACGTCACGGTGATGTAAATGCTTCTACTTTCCTCATGACCTGTTCTTTATCTTCTCTAAATCACTGGGCTTTCTTTGTTGATTTCTTTTCATTCATATGTATTAGGTTGCATCAATAAATGAGAAAGATTAAATATATTTCATCAGCTGTGATTGTATACACATATTGTTCTGTTCACTAACAGTTTGTTTTAACATCTTAATCATTTACATATGTTTGATGTTGTGCTCAGGCCACAAAAACATTAAATACATTTAACATCCCATTACTATTAATGCAAGCTTTGGTTCTTCACTCGATTGTTCTGGAGAATATTTTTACAATAAGATGTAAAAATATATGAAATTTAAAATAAATACAATAAAGATTATTTATTTCCCATTGAATTAATGTATTACTAAATTAAATTACATGTCATTAAATTAACGTATTAAATCAAATCTTTACAATTACAATAGAAAATATATTAGAAGACAATTACACAATATTCAGTTTGAATTTTTCTAACAAGTTTTCCCAGGTACATTATACACATATATATATAATATTATATTTTAAAAGATACTTTATTTTATTGATACAGTATCCATCACATATGTTTCATACTTTTTAAATAAAAGGAAACGTTTTCATTTTTTTACATTTTTTCGTTTTTGAATAACAATCGACGTCATCACAAAGCGACGGTTTCTGAACGGGCGCATTGTAAACAGCCAGCGATTGCAGCTCTAATATCAGTTTCAACGATAAATAAACAGGTTGTTTACATTTTAAATCACACTTAGCGGAAGTTTTTCAGCAGCTTCCGGTCTTAATCTCGGACTTAACACAGAAACATCCATCCATGGTCTCAACGCGGAGCTGTTATTGTACCCGCTTTCCGCTCACTTGAAGCGGCCTCGTAAGAAGCGATGGAGGGGCTGCCTCAGCTTCCACCCGAAGTTTGGGTCTACGTGTTCAGCTACCTGAGCACGGAGGAGAAGCACACGGTCCGCGCGTGCACCAGGCACCTGAAGAGGCTGGCGGATCACCCGGCCCTGTGGAGGGACTACACGGTGGTGCTGTCCGACCTTCGCCGCTACACCTACGGCTTCTGGGACACCCTGAACTACCGCAGGCTCACCCGCGTGGCGGTGCGACACCTGCGGCGCAAAGAGTGGCGGCGGCTCGTCAAGTTCCTGCCGTCGCTCACCGCCGTGGTGTTCGTGGACGGAGGTCGGACCTACAAGCAGAAATACCTGGACAACCTGTCCCGGTTCCCGGACTTAAAGGACCTCGGTGTGCGCAACGCCACCTGGGACGAGCCGATACTCGGGTGGAGCTTGACCGCGCAGCTGCACGAGCGGCTCACTCACCTGAGCGCGTGCAACGTGCGGCTGCCGTGCACGGTGGACTTCATCGACGCCGTGTCGCAACTGGTCAACCTGCGGTACCTGCTGTTCCACCAGCAGGGGGAGGGCTACGGGTTAGACACCGTGAGGCCGGTGCCCTGCAACGTCTTCCACAACCTGCTGCTGAGCCTGAAGAAGCTCAAGCACCTGTCCTGGGGCATGAGGGGGGAGCCGCCGGAGCCGCTGCCCGACGACTACCTCAGTCCACCGGACCCGGAGCATCCAGGTGAGCCGGTAACCTGATCACCTGGTGCCTCTTTACCTGCGGTGATGCCTCTTTGTTGCTGCATATTTTGTCCATTTACTACACAAACCCTCCTCTTCCTTTTCCTCTTCCTCCTCTTCCTCTTCCTCCTGTAGGAGCGGCCCGGTATGGCGGCCCGGCGCTGACCAGCCTGGAGCTGGTTGATTACCCAGAAACCATCCTGCCCCAGAACGCGCTGAGGAGCCTGACCTCGCTGAGGTCTCTGACGGTCCGCTACAGGTACATCAGAGAGGGCATCGAGTGCCGCCTCACGTCCTGGCTGAGTCCGCTCCAACAGCTGGAGACCCTCACCATCATCGGTGAGTCTCAAAGCTCCTCCTTTGCTCCTGCAGACATTGTGTTTGTTTCTTATTTAAACATTTATATCATTTGTGCTTTGTCATCTCAGGCGGTAACTCTCTCGCCGTCTACACGACCACCATCCCGTCCAGTGTGACCAGGCTGACGCTGCGCGTGGCCATAACCCTGAAGGACATGGACTCCATCGCACCGAAGGTCCCGGCGCTGGAGCACCTGGACATCGAGCAGAACCGCTCCAGCGGCAGCCTCTGCAGACGGATCCCCATGCTGTTCCCTCAGCTCAGGACGCTCAGGATACGGTGAGCCAGGCGGGAAACCAGCTCAGGTTCTTAGACCAGAACCACGTTCAGGTTCTTAGACCGGAACCACGTTCAGGTTCTTAGACCGGAACCACTACAACCAGTCACGTCAAAATAATTCAAAATATTATCCCGATAATCATCAAAATATGCTTAAAACTGGAATCACTTTACCTTCTTTAGAAACAAAAATATTTTGATGGTACCACAGTGCTTTTTAAATTATTATTATTTTTTTGTTTTGCTTTGCTTCGTCTGTCATAAAGGTGCTGTATAAATAAAGTTATTATTAAAGTTATTATAAGACGTCTGACGTCCTCTTTCTCAGGTTTTTCCGCAGAGAGCCGGAGAAGGACCTGCTGAGCCTCCACCGGCTGCGTCACCTGGTGCAGCTGGAGCTGCTAGTGGAGCGCTCCTTCATCCTGAGGGACTACCTCAACGGGCACCCCTGGCCCAGCCCCTGCGTCCAGGAGCTCATCAACCAGCTCAGAGAGCTGTCGGAGAACCGGATCACCGTCATCACCACGATGCGCCAGAGGAACCCGCTGCGAGAGTGCGACTGTGTGTGGGAGGGCGACTGACGTAGGGGGGAGGGGAGGGGGAGTCGATTTTTATTCCTCCTGAAGAAGAAGACGAAGAAGACGACAGAGCCGGTATCAAGAGAAACATTAGTGACGCGTACTGAAGGTCTTCAGACTTTAACATCATGGATCATATTCACGCTTACAGATCCTTTACATTCACAGCCCACAAATTTATAGTTAATGAATAAAAATGCTGTTTTCAGACACTTTGGTTGTCTGAGTTCTGCGTTTCTTTTATTTATTTCACTCCACTTAAGTAGCTGAGAGAGATGTTTTGTCACACGGTTAGTTTCTCAGTAAATGGAGCCGAATTGAGCTTTTTATTCTTTTTGCTTTGTTTTTTACTCTCTTTCTCATGAATTTGATGTCTGTTACAGTCTGACTAGTTACAAACACAAGAAAGACATCAGCAGCAGCTTTAGAGAGGTTTAGTGCAGCAGCTGGACGAGTGATTGTTCAGTTGATTCTTTTATATTATTCAGTTATTAGTTAGTTAAAGGCCTGAAGGTGAGACGGTGACGTTGGATGACTGTACGCTGAAGTAAAATTAAATCGTGTAAAACATGTTTACAAACACAATGATTTTCAATTAAAAGAGAACAATTTATCATTTCATTTGGTATTTCTTTTTCTTTGTCTTTTTGACTCCTTGTTGCGTTTATATATTTTTGTCCACTGAGTTTATTTTCACGTCTGTGTTTTGGTAAATTAGATCAAATAATCTCCGCTTATTAAAGATGATTCTTTTCATTAGCATAAAGAGGTTTCATTAACTATTAACAGAATGTGCATCAAAGGATCTGAGCCACAGAAACACAAGAGGTCAACTTAACGAAGGCTTTGATAAAGTTACAAAGAATAAATAAATCTGAGCCAATAAAACTAAACACGATACATAAAAGCTGATCAGACCAATTCAGAAATTTGAACAATGAACTAAAACAAAAGTAGTGAAATACTACCAGGGCAGCACTGATGAAGTATAAAGTACAACTTATTTATTTTATTTAACCTTCATTCAGTCCCGTTGAGATTTAAAAACATCTTTCCTGAGTTTCACATGAATGCACAAATATTCTATATTTAAAAGTTAAATACAACATTATTCATAAAAGAGATAAGTAAGTTAAAGGTTTCAGACGGCCCTAAAATATTAGCACATTAACTTTCTCCCAAATCAAGTGTATAAAACATCTGCATTCTAAATTCACACTGAAATACTTTTAAATACGTTTAAAGTGAGATTTTGAGTCTGTCTGAAACATTAGTATGATAATACATCAGTCTACAAACATGACATAAATGAGACATTTTTAAGTCTTTATTATCTTGAGGAAGTTTCTCTTTACTTTGAGATACTAGCTCATTATTATTTAAATAGATTTATAATTAAAATGTCAGTTTTGGTCAGAATTAAGGATTAAGTTTGGAAAACGTCCCTCCAGTGTTTTTCAACATGTGAGTTCAACTGATTTAACAAAACAAATGTTTTCAATAACTCAAAGAATGAAACATACACTTTTTTTTTTTTTTTACAAGAAATATGTATTTAATAATCTCATCTATACAGAATAAACATGAACAAAAGAAACTATTACAGTCTGAGGACACTTAACACACCAGACCTTTCCTTTAACTGCTGCACAGACGCGAGTTCAGCGTTGATGTAAACGTGCACGCTGTCACGTTATCATCATATTGAGAAACAAAATCTGTTTCTGGGTTTTCAGCTGCAGTTTTACAGACTTCTCAATAAAGGCTTTGAGCTTCTTTAGAAAGAAGAATACCGTATGTGATGATGAAGATGAGACAAAGAAACCAGTAAAAGTACTACTGGTGTGTTTCCACAACGGGGATCAGGACGTGTGTTGAAGAACTCTGAACCTGCGTTTGGTTCAAAGGAACCAGGGAATAAATAAAGTTAATAAAGGTGTAAAAAAAAGAAAAGGTAGCAGGATCAAAAACAAAGCACCGCAAGAAGTACTGGTGTCTTGTTGTTTTTTACTTCCTGAGTTTAGTTCTTGGAACTTTTTATGTCCAAAAAGTTTCCCGTTTATTAACTGAAATGTAGATGTCTCTGCAGAGAGAAAACAGTAACACAAGGACTCGTAGAAGTCGAATAATCCAGCAGGTCGCTCCTCAGAACTCCAGCAGGAGCGTCAGCGGCTCTTCACAATTCAGCACCATCTCCTGCCTCTGTCCGTAGACGCCCTGCTCCACCACCGCGCCCGCCTTCGTGCACTTCGCCGAGCCGGACATGAACTCCCTGCAGGCGGCCACCAGGCTGGAGAAGAGCTGGGCGCCCCGCCACAGCTCACAGCCGCCCCTGTGCTGCACCGTCCTCCTCCTGGGCACCGGCTCGCCGAGCAGGGAGTCCTGGGGGATAAATAAAACGCTCCCCGGGAGGTCGAGGACGCACACCGAGTGACCCGAGTCCTTTCGGAAAAGTTTGGTGGTCATCAGACTGTTGGCTGTTGAGGAGATCACAGGAAATTATATATATATATATATATATTTATTTATTTATTTATGATTTAAAGTCTAGTCCATGTTTAGACTGCAAAGACGTTTAGAATCTGAATTTATTGGATGATAGCCTCTTGAAACGTAGCAGATGTAGAATCAAATACACAGAGATAAAAACATCTTTACAGGATAAAATAAACACTGCACATCCCATGTGAGGAGGAGCATTAACCAGATTATTATTATTATTATTAATAAAACACATCTCACCCATCTCGTAAGCGACGTCCTCGGTGGCTCCGTGGAGGAAACACACGTACACAACCATCCCCTCCTGGATCTGAAGGACACACACGTCGTTTACTGGAAATGTATTTCACAAATAAAATAAAAAATAATCCAACAAATAAAATAAAAAAATATTTAACAAATAGTTAAATGAAGTAAAAGTGTATCTACAAAATAAGTAAAAATAAATAAAACAAATAGATAAATAAAATTAAATCAATCCAAAAAATAAAACACAATTAATTAAAGTTGAGACGGTGAAACAATGAGCCAATATAACAATAATATCTGTATGATTCAATGAGTGAGTTTCCAAAGTGAAATAATATAACCAGTACATAATAATATGTCAACGTTCAATGCTCACGTTAGCATTTAGTATTATTCTACATTTAACATTTGTAAAAGGCCGTCTGGTGGTCAAGAACCAGTTCAAGCACAACGTCCCCAATTCGACTCCAGTCAGGGTTTTTGTTTTATGTCTGAATCTCCACTATTATTAACATATTAGCATGCTCTGTGACATTTACCAAAAGGACAGTTGAGGTTGTCTGGAATGTGATGAAAAGTCAAGAGGATCACCAAGATTCATCCTCTGAGGATCATGAATGTGTGAAGCAGATTCCATGGAACACAAAACAAACAACAGAAGGAACCTTCACACCCACCTCGGCCCACTGAGCGTCGGCTCCGTCCAGCGCTGGTCTGATCTTCACCTTCGCCTGACTGCACTGCTGGATGACGGTCCGGGCCTGAAGACTCCTGGTCCTCGAAAACAGAGCAGAGCTGCTCATACACAAGTATTCAGCCGTCAATACATACACAGGAATAATACAACTACTACTACTAATACTATAAAGACACATCAATTAACTAAATAGTTCAGTATTTGTCATAAACTGTAAATAAAAAGAGGATGTTGGTTTGTTGACTGATGTTTTGAAGCATTTTAGCCGTCGCCATCTTGTTTTTTTGCAACCAGTGAACAGGAAGTGACCATATCTGGACTGAGGAGGAGTGACGTAGAGACGCAGTATACGTCTCTGGTGGAGACCTGTCAATCACTGTGTAGCCCCGCCCTAAAGCATCCCCTGCTTTATGGTCTGTTTGACTCTAAGTGGACCATCATTTACTAAATGAACATCATGCTGTATTGAAGAAGACTTGAAACTAGAGATTGAGACCATAAACTCATGTTTACAATGTTTACTGAGGTAATAAATCAAGAGAGAAGTAGAGTCATTTTCTCATAGACTTCTATACAACCAGAGGAGTCGCCCCCTGATGGACACTAGAGAGAATGCAGGTTTAAGACACTTATCAGAACCGGAGGTTGCTGCCTGGTATTTGTACGTACCCGTCTACCTCAGGAAGACGATTAGCTGGCTGTACCGGGGAAGAGCCAGCGATGGTGAAGACGGGCCAGGGTTTGGTGCTCGGGGCCACCACAGGCTCCAGGCCTCCGCCGGCGCTCCTCTTAGCCGAAGACGCTGCCTCCGGCTCTCTCTTTTTCCTCACCGGGCGCTGGACGCCGCCACGGCCCCGGGTTCGGTTCTGGGTCGTCGGCCCTCTGCTTTGACTTGGTGGCTGACTTTGCTCGCTCGGGGCTTGTGCTGGGAGCTCAGGTGGAGGATGTGACTCTGAGAGAGGTTTGGTTTTGTCCTGGACTTTGACAAAGTGATGAGTTCTGGCGCTGCCCCGAGGGCCACTCGTCTCTTTCTGGTCCTGAAGCCGTGTCTGGTCCTCCTGAACCTGGATGCTGGTTTGGCTCTCGGTGACTTCACACTGTGGAGGCATCCCACTCTTGACAGACAAGAGTCTGGCCACAAAGGAGGAGTTAGGATTCCCTCGCTGGAGGATTATGGGAGTTCTGGGCTGGAAGTTGATGGGAGTTCTTAGATGGAGGAGGATGGGGATTCTGGGCTGTGGACTGATGGGAGTCACAGGCTGGGGGGGCAAAGGGTTCTCCTGGGAATCAGAAAGTTTGTTTAGAGTGTTTGTCTTTTTCAAAACAGTGTGTGAAGGGAACAGGATCTGAGATGTAGCATTTCAGCAATGTTTTATCATGAATAGAGAAATAGTCAATCAATGTATTTAAATTCAGTAATTATCTCTCTGTATTGTAGTTTTTATTGTTTGTGACCAAACTACACATGCAGCATGTGATCTAGTGTCTCACTGGGTTCATCCCAATATCCATCCTATATATATATATACTTATTATTTAACGTTACTGTGAAGAACTGGTCATGAAACAGTGTAGTCCTGATCCTCTATCAGACCTCTATCAGTAAACGAGACCATCAGAGAGAAGATGGTCTGTTTCTATATCGTTATTCTTAATGCTTGTCACCCAGTGCATGATGATGTCCCATTTCCTCACTGAGGATTCCCTCGCAAGTGAAGGAAACGAAGATGTGGAATAAGGAAATGGGGACAAACACGAGGTGTACTGTTCATAACCCCCGACATTACCTGTCGCTGCTGCTTCACATTAAAAACGCACGATTGGCGAAACACGGGGAGGCTTTAATTGTAAAACAGCAACAGGAAACGCGACACATCGACTGCGATTGTTCATCAAAAAATGCGGATTTAAGGATTTACGGTTAATGTGAATCGTGTCGTCCTGCTCGTCCGGGGCTGAGAAACCTACCACTCTGTCCTCTGAAGTCGTCTCCGGCTGCCTTTCTTCATCATCAACTTCACCACCACCATCATCATCCTCATCATCGTCGCCGTCCTTCCCGCTGTCAGGACGCACACAGAGAAACAGAAACAGGAAGCACACAACGACATTCAAACTGTATGAACTTCAATGCTGCTGCTGACACTGTTATACTGCAGTTGTTGCAGGCATTAATACTCCAAGTACTTCAACTACTTCTACTACTGCTACTTGTTCCCGCTCGAGGAATGAAGCTCAGTGTTCCTGCAGGAACAGGAAGCCACTCACCTGTCTACGTCATCAGGTATCTGTGGTGATGTCAGAGGAGACTCTCTGGGCTCTGATCGGTGGACTGGTTTCTTCCTCCTGCTGCACTGTGAGCAGCTGTTGATCCACTGCAGCACATCTGTCCTCATGGTTTTCCAGAAGTACCTGATATCATGATGTCATGTTGTGGAAATTAAAACAACAGCAGAATATTTATCATTTGCACCTCCAGTCAAACTTTGACATTTTATCTTTGTTTTCACAATATCTTAAAAAGTGGCTCCGAAGCTTCCTTTATACGATCTGTGGCACTCAGTTGTTTATGCAGAAACAAACAACTTCCAGATGTGATAAAACTGTATCATTACTACACAGAAAGTCAAAACTGGTGGAGGTAGTATTTTTTGAATATTAAAGATTCTTCGTTCGGGTAAATATAAATATTATTATTATATATATTTGATTACTGTACAACATTCAGCAACTGTTATTATTAATAAATGTTGCATATTTAATGTAAGGTTTCTAGGATGTTCAATACAAATTTCAACTCAATCCATTTAAAAAATAACAACCAGTGAGGCTAAAAATAAACAAACTTCCCGCTCACCTTTCGTTGAGCAGTCTGAGACACTTGTTGACGTCGAGGTGGTTCAGCTCGTTGTGATAATCCGTCATGGCGGCTTCCACTCGCTGCCTGCTCCTCAGAACCAAACGCACCCGGTCTCCCCTCACGATGTGCAGCTCGTCGTCTATGAGACCAGAGAACAAGTTATGAAAGGGAAGTTTATCTTTGCATTTCTGCTTCTTTGGATAGTTAAGTATTACAGCATGATGTTGAAGAAGACTTGAAACTAGAGATTGAGACATAAACTCATGTTTACAATGTTTACTGAGGGAATAAATCAAGAGAGAAGTAGAGTAATTTTCTCATAGACTTCTATACAACAAGAGGAGTCGCCCCCTGGCGGACATTAGAGAGAATGCAGCTTTTAAGGCAAAGATTCCTTCCGCCTATTTGCTTTGATTATTTAGCTGTAAATAAATGACTTTGTTATCAAGCCAACCTGTGTGACTCGTGTTTATGTCTCAGCCTATGAGACACACAAGCTTATTTTATTCCTTCTGTCAGAGTTTAAGCTCCACCACGAACTATATAGACACCATATAGTTTAGTTCAGCCTTACTTTGGTACAAAAGATATCATAGAGAAACTTACTGACATGTCATTTATTGCTAATGTGTTAAAGATTCTGGTTCTTACAAACCTTTGATGGCAAACTGCTTGCAGAACCTCCTGAAGGTGTTCTTCTCCACGTAGCTCAGTCCAGGAGGATACGTGCGTTTGCTCAGGTAGAGCTCCACGGCATCGTACTTGGCAAAATAGGCCTGAAAGAAAAGAGAAAGAGATGCAGGCAGTGCAAAGCATTACATTGGATTGACACCTTTTTTTGGGGTTCTGATACATAAAATAGTTTGTTAAACCCTCAATAATCACCCCAGCTAGAACATACCTCCTCCCCTGCAGGCTGAGTCGGTCCTCTGGACGACGTCTGTGGAGGTAAAACACAACTCAAGCTTTTAAAACAGACAGCGCAGGAGTTTTTACGACTGCAGACTGCACATCTACCGCTCTTCTGTCATCTCACTGATCCCGACTGTACAGAAAGTAACTTCCGAGCCTCACCGCTGAGTTGCCGTGGACCAGGAGCGCGGGCACGGCGTTCGGGTGCACGGTGACCTTCTCCCCGCTGCGGTCGAAGCAGTCCTCGGTGAAGTGGGTCGAACAAACGGACGACCCGAGACGAGGGTGCCAGTTGGGACGGCCGACGGCCTTCAGCCACTGAGCCAGCAGGGCGAGGTTGTGAAGAGGAAACCTGGTGGTAAAGACGGACGGATGGAAGAACACAGATGAAGTAATACAGCGACATAATTCACCACATGGTACCTAAACTGCAGGTCTTCTGTTGACTGGGTTTAAATGCATCACTTGTTTCTCTTCACTGAAAAAACAAAAATACAAAACAAATCCACAAAATGTCCTTCTTCTGTCTCTTTGGGGCGACTGGTAGTTGTAGCCGTGGTTTGTTTTTGACACAACATACACATGTAGAAGCATGTACGACGGTTTATTGGAGTACCGGCACTTTTTAAAATGTATTTTCCACTTAAAACATTCCCTTTAATATGTAGAAACGTGCTCCTACTTATGGAAGGTGAGGCCCAGGCCTCTCTCCACCGGCCCGCAGCAGTTGGTGCAGGTGGAGACGCTGCAGCGGAGCCACTTCCTCTTGGTTCTGTTGAGGCAGGTGTGGCAGCTGGAGATCCAGCGGGCCAGGTCGCGGGTCATGCTGGCCCAGTAGAAGTGCTTGGTGATCATCCGCTGGCAGATGCCCTGGCCGTAGTGACCCTGGTTGTCGTGGACCTGCTGCAGGATCGAGTTCACCTGCGAACCGGAAAAAAGGCAGCGCGGTTAGGTGTTGATTTTTGAGATTCAAACAGGAAAGAGGGTCATTAGTTCCTGGTTTTATGCTCCAGATTTCTTTAACTTTAAGATGCTTGTACAGGATTAATTCAGGATGCAGACCTCCTCTCTGCTGCGTGGCACTCTGAGAGGAGGAGAGACTCGCGTGTACATCAGCACTCCATCTGAAACAGCAGAGAAAGGTTTCTGAAGGTGCTATAATAAAAGGATAAAACCAGTGATTGTGTGTTTCATCAGTCTCTCCTCTCACCTTTTAGGCCGAAGCGCTTGGCCATCCTTTTCAAACCGCCTCTGGCTGTCTTGCTCTGCATTGGTAAGACTCTGTGGCTCAGATACCTGCAACATAAAAACATTTGAACACACAATCTGCTAAAACAAACACGTGGTGGTCTGGGGATCTACCTGGCGATCTGGTTGTAAGCCTTGAAGCTGGGCTCGATGACGGTCTTCCTCCTCTTGAGCTCCATCACCACGGTCTGGACCTCCCCGGAGTCCGGATCAGGACCCGGGAGGCAGTACTGGTGCTCCTGCAGCTCCACGGGGGCTTCGGAGGGATCGAAGGCCGGCTCAGAGGGGTTCGTGGTTTCTGCAGCAGCTGTGGAGAGGAGGTCCTCCAGGGTGCCAGACTGGAGGAAGTCCTCGTCTGAAGGGACCGGAACCTGAAGAGCCAAGAAGGATGAAGGAAGTCAAAATATAAATAATAATAAAATAGTATATTGAGAGCATGAATTGATATTCGCAGGAGTGATTAGTTTAAAAAGGGACCAAACTAAGATAATTTGAGGCTACATATATTAACAATGTATTATTAAAGTGTATTTTGTTTGTTTCATTATCACTTGTGGAGGTTTTAGATCTAAAGGTTGGGAGGCATTCATTTAAACCTTTGCGTCCTCCTGAAAACATGTTTTTGCGGTTATTGTCTGCATTTTGTTTATTAATGTGAGCTCCTGTGTGGTTGGCCTTTGGTCTTTAGCATGCTACACAGTCACACATGTCTTTATCTGTGCAGCTGTGCAGATGCCATCTTTTGCTGCCTACTTATTGTGTGTGTGTGGTCCTGCACTGCGTCACCTCATCCTCCTGCACCGTCACCGGCATGACGGTCGGTACGGCGTCCGGCAACAGAGTCAGCTGACCCTCCTCGCTCAGCGAGAAGCAGGGCGGCTCAAAGTGTCTGGAGCAGAGGCAGGAGTTAGTGCGGAGCGAGCCCTCGTCCCTCTGAGACACCACCAGCCACCTTCTCCTTCGCTCTTTGTCCTTCGGAAACCTGCAGGACAGAGTTCTGTTTTTTTAAAGCTGAGACAAAGCTGAACAAGAGGAAAGTCTGCCTGTGGAGCACCACAAGGCTCCATCTTAGGTCCTATTTCATTCTCATTAAATACGCTTCCTACACTTGCGAACTGCCAATAAGCCTGACAATGTAGAGCTAATAAACGGAAGATCCACCCAGGTAATAAATCAGACAAAACTTTACAATAAGAGAATCATTTTTAGTTTTTAACAGCTTTTGTAACTGTGTGGCATCCGACCTGTGGAAGCTGAGCTGAGGGTAAACGTAGCTGGAGGCATCGCAGCCGTAAGCCAGGCAGAACTCGACGCGCGGTGCCGGCGGCTCGGGGGGAGTTCGGCTCTGACAGACGGCACAAGCTTGGATCCAGGTCTTCACGGCCTCCGTCACCCCGACCCAGTAGTACATCAACTGGACGGGGCAGAGGAATGTACTTGTGTGTGTGAATCCCTCTAAAATGTTCTATTTGGATCAACACCATCTCATCTGAACTCACCATTATCTCCTTTATTACACGGACCCGGCCGGCGTGCTTGTTGTGGTCATGGTATCGGACCAGGATCTCCCTCACCTCCTCGTCACTCCTCACAACGCGGAGGAGGCGACCTCGATAGAAGCGCAACAGACATCCATCTGCAGGACGGAAGTACATTTCAGGGTCAAGTATACTGTATTCAAGTATTTAGATACTTTTACTTTGATTTGGTACCATCATTTACATTTTCTACTCCATTACATTTATTCGACAGCTTTAGTTAATTTGCATATTCGTATTATTAATACAAAATATAAATAAACTAATAAATGATGATGTATTGTTTTAGGTTAGTAATATAATCTATTATTCTTTCAAAAATGATCCATAATCAGAATAAGAACTTTTATTTTTGGCACTTTAAGTACATTTTGATGCCAATACTTTTGTTCTTAAAATATGTTAAATGAAGGACTTTTACTTCTCCTTTAATGAAGGAGTTTTTTTGTAAATTACTTTTATTTAAATAAAACACTGGTAGTAGGTGAGTGAGTATTTCATGTTTTTTGATACTTTCTATAAAATACTTTTTTTTACCATTTTATCAGTCACTACAAAAATTGCCTTCCGTCCAGTGAGTTTATATTTTAAACATTCTTCCCATATAATGGTACATTTCTACTTCGTGTAGATATTTCTACATAGTAGAGTATACGTAGTAGAGTATATATTTCAGATGTGTCTTTCTTATTGTTGTGCAGAAGAAGAATTCACCCAAAGATAACTGTGACTGAGTTGTATGAGAATGTTCCAGCACCAAGGCCGTCGGGCCGCTTGTTGTCCAACGTTGTTCCTGTCGGTCTGAGACCAGAATGTCTGTAGCATCTCCTTTAAGTTTATACTTTAAACATTCTTCCTGGAACACACTTTATAAGTCACTCTGTCAATGAAATGTCCAGAGGAGAAGAGATCCAACATCAGGGCTGATTTAGGAGCAACAGAATCTGAGCTACAGTGTAACACAATGCACTGCTTTTAATATATTATGTTATGTTATATTTAAAGAGTCAGTTTAAACAGTTTGTTACTCGTCCAGTTTTTCTGATATCCGTCTCTTAAATGTTCAGCTTTCACTTCAATATCATTGAAGATTAAATATTAAGAGAAGAATGTTTTAGCGTATAAGAAGCGCCTGTATGCGTAGATATTTAAATACCTTTATAGATGAAGTGCTTGCTGGCAGCTCTGGTTACTTTCTTTGAGCTCTTTGATGCTTCGACGGGAAATGTTCCTGCTCGCATGAACAGCTCTACACGATTTAATAAGTCAAAGGACGGCATCTGTGAGGAGAGAGGAGAGGAGAGGAGAGGAGAGGAGAGAGGGAGAGAGAGAGAGAAATCACTCTGTGACTCAAATCATCACAAAAACAATTATATCAGTCAATCTGATCCGAAGCTTCAACGTCTTTGTATTCATTAACAGGAAAATAACTGAACAGTTTTGGTATCGTTTGATTTTTTTCACAAATGCTAAACTTGTCGAAGTGATAATTAATATGCAAAATACCAATTATTTTTAAACTTGTATACATTTAATATTGAAAACCCTGAGATATTTCTATAATCAGTTTTAACCCCTTTTAGTTCCTGTCATGTGATCAGCATGTTATTGATCACAGCACAGACAAAATGATCAGTTGGTGTTTTTTAATTATTAAATAAAAATGCCTTTCTTGCTGTTAATAAACTAAATTTTGGACATTAATTTAGTAAAAAAATAAGCTGTTTTAAGACATTTATCACTTTGTTAGTCAGGTGATGGACGTTATTGTGATTATTGTTGACAATTTATAAGCAATTAATCGATTAATTGGGAAAATAAACAACCAGATAGATTTATTGACTAATTGACTAAATGATATCGATCTAGGTGAAATAAAACCCAAACAAACAAACACAGACTATCACCATGACTGTGACCCATAACACATAGCGATTGATCTCGTTTTCATTTGACAAATCTATCATTTAAATGTAAGTTTTTGAAAAACCGTTTCCCACCTCAGAACATCTTTCGTCCGGTAAACAAAAATCCTCGTTACACCGTCATCAACTTTCAGCCAAAACTCAACTTTTAACGCGTTACTTTTCCACTCAACTGTTGACATAAACGAGCTACATAGTTTTTACTTCGTCTAAATGTAGAAGTACATTCTGCAAAGTGTTACATTTCAGGTCAAACTAGAAGCTGAATGTGGCGTTTGGTGGTTCGCATATTTAAGCTAGCGGTAGCAACCTTGTTCTATCCGGTATGGAACATTTCAAAATAAAGGTTTACGTTTAGCTGGTAACTTTTGAGGGGAAATATCTTAAGCTATGTTCAAATATATACATTAATTGCTACAAGATTTTGAAGTACTGTATAGCACATGTTTGTTGTTCATTGTGTAAGAACATTTGTAATCCTATGACATTTTTTCTAAATAAATAAAGATTTGTTAATTTAATCTATTTTTATTTTACATATTTTTTAGATATAAATAATTTTTAATGTATAATATTATTATTCTTACAATTTTTCTTAACTTTCTCTATTTACGTTTACTTATTTCCGTCCTTGTTCAGCTGAAACAACCACATTTGAGCCTCTGGTGATCAATAAAGACGTATTTGATCAAATTTAAGCATTTTGAACATGGTCGTCATCTTACAACAACAAAAAAATCAAATCAAATTAAATGTTCACAACTTCAAATTCTCGTTGTCTGAAAGGTTTTAACAGTAGGTTAAATTATTGGTTCTATGAAGATAAATTCACAAAAGATAAAAGATAAGATAAAAGATAAATCACAGAAATCATGATGTTCACAATGATTCTTTTTTTCCTGTACAAAAAAGGCCTCATGGAACAACATGGTCCTACTCATGAGACACATAGACCGCTCAGAACGATTGCCAAAAAATGTTTAGGTCTTTAAAAAGAAAAACAACCGTTACAATATATGCCGTTATTTTCGTCCTTTTATTTTGGCAGCAAAAGCGATTAACCGGAAGTGACATTGATCCCACTTGCCGCTGACTTGACAGAGAAACAGGTTTGACGCAGGTTGTAAAAGCTGCTGTAACCCAAGTTTACTGAGTGCTGTTTATTTCCGGTCCCTGAAACGCAGCTGAGCGCCCCCTGCTGGTCCGGAGAAGACTTCACATCCTGCATCACTGTGGCTCACAGAGGACAAATTAAACTAAGTATTAATTTTAGACTTTCGTATTCTATTTACTGTCGTCTGTTGTGGTTACACAACAAACTGTGACATAAGCCAATGTAATCTAGAAAGACATAAATGCATAAATCAAATATCAACACATAAAGTCTGTTTGTGGCCTTGTTGGTGGATATTTAGACGTGAATTAAGAGACAGTCTTGAGCTCGACTCCTCAGAAGTCCATCAGATGTGTGTACGGTCCGTTGGTGTCGAGCTTCAGCACTTGTCTGTTTCCGTACGTCCCGTGTTTCACCTTCACTTCAGCCGAAGCGGCCGCCAGCTCCTCCTCACACAGCGAGACGAAGGCGCCGTAGAGCCGCCGGCCGTCCTCTTTGCCGATATTGCCGTGGTACTGCATGGCTCGACCTTTGACCTTCCCGCCCATCGTGGCCTGAGGGACGATGAGCAGGCTGCCGGGGAGCTCCGACACCGAGACCGTCTTCCCCGAGTCGGACTCACACAGCCGGACGTTCAATAGCGTGGACACTGGAGGGGAGGACGAGATATTCACACCTCAGAATGAGGGATGCACAGCCACGGTGTCATGGTGCAAAACAACACACATAGTGAGAGAACAGAAAAAAACTGTATTACAAAAGCCAAGGATCATAATGAGAAAAAAAAATCAAGATAAATTGGAAAAATATGTCAGAAGATATGTAAAATATGTTGGTTTTGAAATGAAAAAGTGCAAAACATTGACCAAGAAATGTGCAAATATTAAAAGTATAAAAAATATGTGCAACGTGTAGATATAATAATAATGTACCACACTGATCCAGATGTGGAGACTTTATGTTATTATAATATGCAGGTCAAAGGTTAAATGGCATCACTGACCCATCTTGGGCAGGATGTCGTCCGTGGCTCCTTTAAAGAAGCAGATATAAATCACCATTCCTCTGTCGATCTGAAACAAGAAGCATCATCAGAGACGTGGACCAATGAGCAGCCAGCATTCACGTAAGCTGTCCCTTTATTTTATCTTATTATTGTGACTCTAATGACACACATCTCTACCTCTCGCTCTCTTAAATCATAACTCTCTGCAGCTATTCGAAGCTGCTTCTATGAATTAAAAATAAAAGTCTCACAAAACACACGTTTTGTGAGACGTTTTGTGCAACACACACATTCAGATGTTTATTTTACTACTTTCTGTTTGTGTCTGTAGATTTCACCATGAGTCACCATTACATAATGTCTCATTTGCATATTTAAACATAACATTACAGAAAACTTGTAATATATCAAATAATTGTCTTAATGTGAGTAATGAACTGGTGAAGTTTCCTTATGATATCTGTTAAAGTCTCCCCTTAATTGGTACAAACACTGTTTGTCAAATTGAATCTGATTGATAAAAATAAAAACTGGAGATTACATTTGATATAAACTTTATGAAATTACAGATTCACTTGGAAAACAGAGCTGTCATTTTCCTTCAGTTTAAAAGTTATTTTGTGGTTTGCTCACTTTATTCTCCTACTTGTTTAAATAAAGTCTCTCCTATAATATATACTTTATTTATTTTATTTGTATTCTTCCTGTACAGCACTTGGTACCTTCTATGAATAAAAATGTTGCTTGATAAGATTAATATTAATAATATTTCATAGTTTCCCTGTTCTCAAAATGTGCTTCATGTTTGTTTTTCTTTGTTTTCTTTAACTTTTAAAACTTAATTCAAAGTATTTCATCATGCCAGTGAATACTACACTGAACATGATGTTCATGAACACAACATGAGACGTTCTCACCTGGACGAACTGAGCCTCTGCGGGTTCCTTTGAGGGTTCCTTTGAGGGTTCCTCTGCTGGTCTCACCTGCAGTTTGGCCTGCAGACACTGCTGAAGCACCGCCCGGGCCGCCGGGTCGCCTCTCTCCGTCATCACTTATTAAAGATCGTAATGCAATAAATAAACACAGAACACTGCCGACTGACAGAGACGTTCAAGACCTCAAAGAGAAATCATGAGACAAACTCACGCCACTCACTTCCGTAATTACGTAAACTAAAGGTGCTCAAAGCTGCGCATTATTAACGCAGTTTTTCATTTCTTATTTTTCTTTCTTTATCCCCGATCAGCTTGTGATAAAAAATATGAAAATAAACACAAAACAACAGTTAAAGTAAATAAATATCGCCTTCTTGTGTGAGATGAAAGTGTTTTTGTACATAAAGTAAATAAATCTTAGACAAGGTAAAATAAAAGAGCAAAGCGAGGACTATCAAGAGCAACAAAATAAATATATGTGTTTTAAAATATAAGTATACATGAGTCAATTGAAACATATAATAGTTTGACAGTATACCGTTTTGTTATTTATTTATATGCATCTTTTTTAAGACACTTGCAGTTATTTATTTTTTTGAAATCAAGCAGATATTAATTAAATGTTTGGTTTCAAGTATGAATGTACAATATGTAACTCTGAGAAGTAATACAGTAAAAAGTACCATATTTACCTCTGAGATGTAGTACAGTAAAAAGCACAATATTTACCTCTGAGATGTAGTACATTAAAACGTACAATATTTACCTCTGATAAAAAAGACAAAAGATAAAACTTATTAAATTTAGAAAACATTTTTTATTGAAGAAAAGAAAGCTACAAAAAAAAAACAACACACACGCATGCGTACTTTGGGCAAGCTTGACGCGCGCCAAGCTAGCTAGCTGAGTAGCATCCAAACAGCTAAACATGGCTCAGTTCACCTACAGCAGACTGTCTCATTTACTGAGAACATCCGGTAATAAACTCTCGGTCTCAAGAACCGGGACAGAAGTAAAACCGGGACCTGCGTGTCGTGTGCAGTTCACGCGCTGCCAGGTAAGATCTCTGTCTGCTTCTGTGAGTTTCAGTTAAGCTAACTAGCTAACAGCGTCATGCCAACGTAAAGTTAGACAGAAAGCGAGAAGAAGAAGACCGGAAGTATTCCACAATAAAAGCGATAACTGTTATTTTATTTTTATGGGATTAAACTAAATTATTTAAAATACATTCCTAAAACATAACTGAATGTCAAAATATGTATTTACTTTCGATAATATGTTCTTCACATATGTAATGTACTTTTAATTGCTAAAGATATATTTTTAAACCTCACAACCGGAAGAGCGCTTACTTATATTCGTCCGGGTTTTACTTGTAGACGCAGCTTCTCAAATACTGTTACTGACCAATAACTTGTTTTATAAATAAGTCTAATAGAGTGTTAATGAGATATTACCTTTTTGTTTTGTTATTTTCTAATATTCAAATTATGTTAACAGCAGCATAAGGTATTATTATTATTATTATTTAATTTTTAATTTTTTTTAAAATTATTATTATTATTATGAAAGCAGTACTAGAAACAGTTGAATTCTAACATATGTCTTTGTCAAAATTGAATTAATCATTCAATCATGCTTTATAGATCATTTATAAACCATGTAAACCATTAATAAATCAAATGGTTTCTCACTTTCTAATAAGCCTGCAGTTAAAATACAGAAGTATTATAAGTCCATGTAGTCTGTAGTCTGTAGTCAAAACCAATAAAAGATATTTTTCACAACTTGGCACCCCAAAAGTTCTTATTAATGACCTTTAACTGATCTATAAAGCATTAATAAATTACGATTAAAGGATGAAATAATCCTATAAAACGCCTTATTACAGTAGGAAGTGATATCAGATCAGTTGAACCGTGAAGAAGATACATTTACTCTGTTTCTTACAGTTTCAGACAGTTTTAAAAGCACCTTTTCTCCACCAAACTCCACGTTAAATTATATAAATCCAACATTCCCTTTCTCGCAGCACTAGTACCAATATATGTTTTAGACTACTGGTAAATTATGCATGTATATGATCCAAAAAGCAGCTTTTATTATATTAAAATTGTATATTATAAAGCAAATTAAGCTTTTGTCTTTTATGGGAATATCTTAAAATTCTTGGTCATTTCTTTCCGATAACCAAAGTGTCCTTAAGTCTTAACTTTGTTCGTCTGAAATCTACAGAAATCCTAAATTTCCTGATAGATCAAACAGATCTAGGTCTGGAATGAATCATTGTGTGTGTGTGTGTGTGTTCCTCACAGAGGTCGGTCGACAGCAAGGCCTTACAGGAGAGGCAGAAGCAGCAGATGGCGAAAGGTCTCCCCAAACAGAAGCCCGTTGTGGGGGTCAAACAGGTCATCGTTGTGGCTTCGGGGAAAGGGGGCGTCGGCAAGTCCACCACCGCAGGTACAGACGACTCGTATTGGTCTTGAACACATCCAGACAAAGCTGTGGGAGTCTGAAATGGATGTTTTAGTCCGACACACATTTGATGCTCAATGATGTGCATCTGCAGAAAAACAGACAGAAACAGAAAAACGGTGTTACTGTTAAATACTTTCCAACCGGTTGGACGTTTTTCATGTCTTGTTTTTCTGTCTCTGCAGTGAATTTAGCTCTCGGGTTATTGGCCAACGATCCGGTGAGGAAGAATTACACAAACATCTTTAATACATTGTCTATGTTTTTCGCCAATCGTTGATGTAAAACCTTTAGAAACAGGTTGATTGTGATGTCTTTCCGTCTCTCAGCTGAAGACCGTCGGTCTGTTGGATGCGGACGTTTACGGCCCGTCGATTCCCAAACTGATGAACCTGAAGGGAAACCCGGAGCTCAGTGACAGTGCGGCGCATCGTTTATCTATAATCAAAGTCACCTGATCGTTTCTTTTTACTGGTTTGGTGGTTTTATTTTATGGATGTTTGCTTCCTCTTTCCTCCAGACAATCTGATGATCCCTCTCGTAAACTACGGGGTTCCTTGGTGAGTCCTTCCAGTCCGAACACATCATGTCCTCTCTTCTTCTGCTCTGACTCCTTCTTCTTCTCTCTCAGCATGTCGATGGGCTTTCTGGTGGACGACGCGGCTCCAATCGTGTGGAGGGGGCTGATGGTGATGTCAGCGATTGAGAGACTCCTCCGACAGGTGGGAATAAATATTATATATATATATATATATATGTATGTATATATATATGTATATGTATATATATATATGTATATTCTAATAGACTGGAGGTGTGTGTTTGTAGGTGGACTGGGGGTCTTTGGACTATCTGGTGGTCGACATGCCTCCTGGGACGGGAGACGTCCAACTGTCAATCTCCCAGAACGTCCCAGTAGCAGGTCAGTCAGACGCTCACTGATACGGTACTCCTCATTTAATAATAATAATAATAATATAACAATAAGAATAATTATAACAATCAGAATAATAATAATAAAACATAATAAATATAATAATAATATGACAATAATAATAGTAATACAATTAATAATACAAAAATAATAATAATTCAAAAACTATTGAAATAAAAGCAAGTTAGCATGACCCGTAGTCAGAATGGCGATAAATATTAGTGAAAGATTGAGGCTTAAAAATGTTGGAATATGTTATTAATAATCCTAATAATAACCTCATTCATATAGCGCCTTTCAAAACAAAGTGTTTTACAGTAAAAACAAATAAATAAGTAAAAAATATAGTATAGAATGATTTAAACAATTGCAACGAACACCAACAGTTAAGAAAAAGCAAAACAATAAAGTTTTATTTTGAAGGAGTTCCTGTCTTCCTGTTAGGAGAAGTTAAAGTCGCTCAGTGTGAAGTCGTACCTGTGTTTTGTTCTGCAGGTGCCGTCATCGTGTCGACGCCGCAGGACATCGCCCTACTGGATGCTCGCAGAGGAGCCGAGATGTTCAAGAAAGTTCACGTGCCGGTAACCTGTGTGTGTGTGAGTGTGTGTGTGTGTGTGTGTTTGCGTGTGTGTGTGTGTGTGTGTGCGTGTTGAAGTAACAGGAGCATCACCGTGTTGCGTTCAATGTCCCCTGCAGGTTCTCGGTCTGGTGCAGAACATGAGCGTCTTCCAGTGTCCAAACTGTAACCACCAGACTCACATCTTCGGCTCCGACGGGGCCCGACAGCTCGCTGACACTCTGGGGGTCAAACTACTCGGTGAGTCGGAGGACGAGCGAGTTCATCGGCTGTTAATTTAAAATCCAAGACGGAGGTTTTCATGAGACGTTTGTAGTGTTAGTGTTAGTTATCAGAGATGTACACGTGTACACCTCAAAACTAAAACATTAGAGTACAATCAGGTCAGTTTGTATTTGAATATGTCCAAAAGTCTTTCTCTGTCTGTATAGAAAACAGGCTTATTATAGTTATTATAAAAAATACTTGTTTCATACTTTGAAGATGGAGTTTTCTTTGCTTTTAAATTGTTCACCAAACCTTTAAAATGTAAAAGTTAGCAGCACCTGAGTCATCTTGTCTCTTTAAAATCTTCTTTGTACATTTTATGAATTATTATTCCAGTAAAGAGGAAAACAGGAAATATAAAATCTTGGTGTTTTTCCCTCATTTTGACGGATCTCCGTGTTTGGTCTGCAGGTGACGTTCCTCTTCATCTGAACATCAGAGAGACGTCAGACAGAGGGACTCCTGTGGTCGTCTCTTCTCCTGACAGCCCAGAGGTTTATATTACACTCTGTCTTATTTTATTTTATTTATTTTATATTAGCAGGTCACTTGCAGCAGCGCCTGTAATCCTGATTAACATTATTCTATTTGTGGAGTTTTTAGGATGATGATGTCATAACATATGAGAACAGACATTTGAAGCTTCATTCAAAAAACTCAATGAAAGATTTCAATGTAAAAAAAACTTTTTTAAAAACCACATTCCTTGTGTGTGTATCTGTGTGTGTGTGTGTGTGTGTGTGTGTTGTAGGCGGAGGCGTACAGGAACGTGGCGTCGGCTGTGGTCCAGAGACTCCAGGAAGTCAACACTTGATTGATGTAAACTGTGAGACACATGAAGACACTCCGTGTCATGTGACACAAACAAACAAACAAACATGTGACACACGTTTATGTTAACAAACACAAACGTCTTTGCTGTCGTAACGCACAATGAGTTAATTACAAAGCACTACTGTGTACAGTGTGTATTAGTACAATAGCTTTACTGAATAAAGGTGATCTCTGCTGTGTGATGATATTTCATGAACTAAAGCCTGAAAATGATTTTCTGAAAATGGCATTTAAATATTTGTAATACCTTTGCGTGATCTAAAAAGCAGCAAGCGGTAACTATTAAATATATTTAAACTTCATTATCGAGAATTCCAATAAAAAAGGCGAGATTATTTATAACATTCAAAAAAAGATTGTCTCTTCCAGCTTCGGTTTATAAGAGTCGTTGTAATTTGATAAATAAAATCTCTAATCTTACAGCAAACAGAAGAGTCCACGAGGAAACATCAGGTCACCAGAGATGTATCTTTCTGAAAGATGTTCTTAGTTTAGTGTGACAGGAGAAGATAACCTGAATGACTCTTTAATGTCGCACTTCCACAGACGAACAGCAGAGGGAGCTTGTTGCATATTGAATAAAAAGATGTCATCGCGACATGAAATAACTTGTTTTCTTTCGTCTGAATAAAGGTCACAGACACACTAATGTTACGTCTTCTGCCGTTGATGTCAGTCAGTGTTTTCTTTTATTGGCAGAACGATCATATACAAACTAATTCAGATAAAAAATAGCAGCACGTACAGAACAGACAGAAGTGATGCAATATAAATGCATATAAAGAGCTAAATGTAATACATAGGAAGCAAATATCTTGCTACGAAGTAACACAATGTGTATTATTCTAACTTACAAAAATGCAGCTCTGACTCCGGACCAGGCGGCAACCTCCGGGTCTGAATAGTGAAGTCAAAGCTTCATGTGTTAAAGCTGCATTCTCTCTAGTGTCCACCAGGGGGCGACTCCTCTGGTTGTATAGAAGTCTATGAGAAAATGACTCTACTGCTCTCTTGATTTATTACCTCAGTAAACATTGTAAACATGAGTTTATGGTCTCAATCTCTAGTTTCAAGTCTTCTTCAATACAGCATGATGTTCATTTAGTACATTATGGTCCATTTAGAGTCAAACAGACCATAAAGCAGGGTATGCTTTAGGGGCGGGGCTACACAGTGATTGACAGGTCTCTACCAGAGACGTATACGACGCCTCTACGTCACTCCTCCTCAGTCCAGATATGGTCACTTCCTGTTCACTGGTTGCCAAACTCAAGGCTTCAAAACATCAATCCACAAACCAAAGGGTGACGTCACGATGACTACGACCACTTCTCAGATACAGTCTGTGGTTTTTCTCCGTTGTGGACACAAAAAAAATATCATGCTAGTGTGGAATTCCGGATGCAGCCGAAGACTCCAGACAGATAAACTCTGAGCACAAGTGCTTTGTTTTCACTCTAATAGAAATTCTAAATCAACCAGGACTAACAATCTTAAGGGATGGCCACTTTAAATGAAGTTATGGGAGAAAACCATCACCCGATCTGCTCCTCTTACCTGCTCCACACGTTGATCTTCACCTTGATGCTTCACAAACTTAAAAACCTCCCACTGAGCTCACACCATGTGTGACTGCGTGAGGCTTCTGGATGTTTGTAAATTATGAATGCAGGACACACAGAACGAGGATGTCAACCCATCAGTCGACATGTTTAATTTACCTCTCCCTGCAGAGACGTGACATCAAACTCATTTAACCTTCTTTCAGCTCAGGAGACGAAGCAGACAGACGAGGAGGAGACGAAGCCTGAAACTTTACATCCGCTCGGCAACAAACTTTTCCTGGATATCTCGTGTCAAATACTGTAATGAAGAGTGTGGTTATGAAATAAAAAGCTCTTGCAGAGATAGAAAGATGTGTTTAATAACTTCTCCTCCTCGCGTGTGAGTCATCACCGCAGAGAGCAGAAACATGAATAATATAACGGGTCGAAATATATTATTGATTCACGTTATGTTAAGAAACTTTTTTTAACTTCTTACCTCACAGGAACCAATTCATCAGAAGCTGAAACAGAAATCCTGAGCGATTACATTTACATTTTACATTTACCAGAAAAATCATAATTACAACAATAAAACACTTTTGTCTTTTATTAAAGCACAACTCAGGAGTCTTTTCTTGGTCTCACAAAGCACACTTATGTTCGTATAAACATATTAAATTGAGCAAAATGTACTTAAAGTATCACAAGTCAACAATAATCACATATCATGATGGAATATTATAATATTCTGTTTCCATCACTAATAAATACATGTAAGATCATTTTAATGTAATATTCTTCAATGTGCAGCCAGTTTGAGATACTTTGTGTACTACTGGGTAAATTGGTCGTATAGTGCATTATATCATATAAACACATCATATGTTGTTATATATAAAAAGTAATAATAAAATAAGACCCCGGGATAATCAGAGTCGTGTAGGATACTAACGAGCATTTAAACGCTCTCATCTCGTCTTCGCTTGAATCAAAGTTGACCTCATGCTCGTCACATCCTCATAGCAAAAATAATGATGAACTAATGATGATGAATAAATGTAATCAGTGCACCAGATCACAGTGATTATTCAAATATCCTCAAAGTGCATCGAATCACAACTGGAGTTCAGCTGCCTGTCTGTCACTCATCCTGCAGCTTTTTTCTCATCTTCATTTTCTTCTTTCTCCATCTTCCTCCTCCTCATGTGTGTGTGTGTGTGTGTAAGTGTATGTGTGTGTGTTGGGCGTCTTTGTGTTCAGTCAATGTTGTACATTTGCATGCACATGAAATACACACTGGTACGTGTGTGTGTGCAGGTTTCTGTGTGAGTGAATGGAACATTATTTTGTGTGCTTACGTGTATTATTGTGTGAGTGTGAGTGTGTGTGTGTGTGTGCTGTTGTCTGTGTGTGCGTGTTTGTGTGTTTGTGTGTGTTTGTGCTTCAGTCAGCAGTGAAATGAAACACAACTCCTCATTGTTATGAAAACCACACCCTGCATTCCCAAATTAGAGAAGAAGAAGAAAATGAGTAGGAGAGTCGACTTTTACATAGAACCTCCTTTTGTTGTTGTTGTTGTTCTTCTTCTTCTTCTTCTTCTTCTTCTTCTTCTTCTTCTTCTCCTCTGTTTGGGATCACAAGTGAAGACTTTGATTCGTAAACAATACCAGAAAGAAAATAGTTTGGAGGAAGACAACGACAGCTTTTGTTTGATGAAAACAAAGTACAGAGGCAGTGATAATATATAATAATGATAATATATAATAAAAGTCACAATGAGATGTTTCTTTCATCTTTGTCCAAAACGAGAAACAAAAAAATGCTGAATAGAGAGGTGAAGCCCCGCCCTTTCCGCTCAATTGGACCTTATTTCGGAAGAAATATTTATGAATATCTTTTTAATGGTGCCATGAGTTACACTTAAATCTGATAATCTTGCAGTTTGTTGTTGTAACTTTTAGTCATGTGAAATCGATCAGTGAACTACATCTCTCGTCTCCCACAATGCACTTCACCAACATGGCCGTTTCCTCGCTTTGCTAGCTAGCTAGCTAACTTAGCTGTGTTCCTCTCACAAATGTAACGTTATCTTTTCCTGATGAGTTTTATCCACCGACTCTTTTTAACAGCACATTTCAAACGGGATCAAATAATAATGATATATATTTTTTTCTAAATCAAGAACCACCAGAAGGGGAGGGACTTTGCATCTCTATTTATTTGGGCACCTGTCAATCAAGCTTGTGTGTCTCCTAACATTTTATCAGAATTCTTTTTCCATTCACTTCAATGGGGTTTTCTTGGTAACACCAAGTAGTGGTCATTAGAGGAACTGCAGCTTACTTCCTTCTGCTTCTTAACGCACTGAGCGGCATTTTGAGAATGCAGTTTTAAAAATGATGTTTTGATGTTGCGTGAGACGTGTAAAACGCATCTGATACGCTTCAGTCGGGGCGTGAAGTGATTGCGGTTTGTATTAATTCAATCAAACAGATCTGGACTTTTTAAGTTTGGAGTTGTGTTGTCTGCACCTGATGAATGTAAGTCCTATATTCTTTCTCTTTTAACTCTGTTTTTGGTCTCCACCATCATCCCGAGGGAGATATTCGTCTCTTTAGCTGCTGAAAGCTTCACTTTGTTCACCAGCTAGTCGCTAAATGTGTGTCTGCTGTTTGCTGCTGAGCAGGTCGGTTTAATCACAGCTTGTTTGATGAAAACAGCTGCACAACATCAGCTTCCAACATATTGTTAAGTTTTAGATTTTAATTCAATTAATTACTTGAGTAAATGCACTTTGTTTGTGGTTTGTATCCCCAGAAAGAAACTAAAGACACTTAACAAACAGCAGCTGTTTTATGAAGGTTGAGAAGCGTTTACGACACAATAGTTGAGCTCTGAGAGTAAAACTTGGTTATAGTTTAAACCGTTTAAGTATAGCGTTTCTACTTTGTTGGGTGGTTTTTAAAGAAGTAACTTTATAATTTTGAGACAGACTTTTCCTTTATTCTGGTTTCTCATGAAGGAGATCAAAAGATTCTTCACACTCATCATTTCACAATGAGTCTCCCAGAGCAGCGATCGCTGCTTTTGCTGCTCTGCTTGTGTCCGGATAAACAGCAGCAGCTGGTTGCAATTGTGCCGTGTCAGTGTATGTGTGTGTGTGTGTGTGTTAGTGTGTGTGTGGCAGTGTGTGTGTGTCAGTGTGTGTGCGTGTGTGTCCTCTCATTAAGGCTGCACCCCCACGCTCCTCATCTGTCTTCTTCTTCTTCTGGGAGAACAAGGTGAAACCTCCCTTTTCTCTTCCCCCCCTCCACCCACCTTCTCTCCCCTCTCCTCTCTTTTCCCCTCGTCTCTCTCCACACTTATTTTCTCATTTTCTCCTCTTGTCTCGTCTCCTCTTGCTTTGTTTTTCTTTCTGTAACCACATCGGCTACAGTAGCACAAACCCGACGCTTCACACGAACAGAAAAATGCAGTCATGCACCGATACAACTGTTGCTTTTCTGGAGAGGAAATGCAAGTCAAGGCTGTGTAGATAATGAGCAAAGAATTCTTTATTCTGATAATTCTGTGAGTTTGACTCTTAACATATCTGTACATGTACGAACTGCCGACTGGGCTTTTATATGTTAGATGGTAA